TGCAGCCTACATATGTCACTGCTTTCGGTCTGAAGGAGTAGATTTTTTAGTCCCTCCAGAATACGGTGTGGATGGTGATTCCCCCCCCTCCCAGAGCACAAATGTGGGTGCTGAATATTGTTTCAGGGTGGAGCCCCCATGCGTGTTTGTCTCATGCGCCTTGGATATATGAAAGTTTTCTGTTGTTTTGTTTTGAGCATCCCTGATTCAATGGAATAGTTTATTAAATGTTATGTTAATATGTTAACACAATAAGTTAACATAACATAATATGTTAACATGTTATGTTATGATGTTATGTTTATTTTTTAAAAAATATCATGGGAAGTCCTTGGGTCTGGTGCTCCCACAGCTGCTGCTGTAGACGCGCTCCCTTCAATGTCCAGGTTGGTGTTATTTCGACATGGCCCATCCTTTGCCCCACCAATAAGGAATATTGGGCACAAAGTAAGCCCCACGCCGTCCAGAAAAGCTCTGTTGTAGGGAAGGTATTTTGCCTTTTATAAATTTATATCCCACTCTTCAAGAATGTTTTACGAGGGTGCTTAACAGAACATGATGAAAAACCGAAATACAGTGGTACCTCAGGTTAAGTACTGTATTTTTCGCTCTATAAGACACACTTTCCCCCTCCTAAAAAGGGGATGAAGGCTGTTTAATCTTTCTTTCCTTGTGCTTGATGACATGCCATCTTTTAAAAACAATGAGTAAAATTTTCTATAAATGCAACAAACCAAAACGAAACAAAAACCGAGCTCCCCGCTGGGGCAACCCAAGCTCTGAAGAGTTTAGGCTGTCTCAATTTGGGAAACGGGCCGTGGCAGCAGGGGGAGAGATCAGCTCATCAGCACACAGCCTCTAAGACTGTCCCCGGAGTGAGAAAACTTCCCAAATTAAATCCCAATAAGGAGAGAGAATTCAAAGAATTAGTGGAACAACTTTTGAAAAGTGTCTGGGAGTGAAAGAAGGGAGTCCACTCTAGAGCTGGTCAGAACCGCGTGGGGAAAATCGGACCGGAAAGAACCAGGTACAACTAAACCTTTAGTCTCTGAGTATATGGGCATAGAAGGGATCCAAGAATTGTAAAGCTGGAAGAGACCATAAGGATCACCTAGTCCAACCCCCTGCAATGCACAAGCCCCACGCTGGGCAAAAGATTCCTGCAATGCAGGGGGCTGGACTAGATGACCCCCAGTGTCCCCTCCAACTCTACTGTTCTTTGATTCTCATACAAATGCTGTGAATGGCCTGCATCTGAGGGGCTGCGATGACCCTCTAAGTTGCATCCTGCAGGGATAAATGCCTCGCCCTGAAGAGAGACTGCTTCCCATCACTCATTTAAGGGTTGGACCACCAGGAGCAGGAAGAAAGTAAAGAAAAATCTGTCCCAGGATCTGTTTCCTTCTTACTGCTCTGCATGGGCACCAGGGCACACTAGCAATCAGCAACAGGAGGGCATCTTCACATATATTTTCCAAATACATTCTAGGTGGTTAGTTCTGCCCCACTTGTTGTGGGTGAACATATCAGAGGACACAGCGATTCTTCAAACAGCTCTTGTTTATTCAGAGGCCAGAACAGAACTGAGCTGAAGGGCTCAGTCAGCCTGCTTATATAGAGCTCCAGTACAACGTTACTGTAGCAACTTTCTAAAACTATCCAATCACTGAACGTCACTTTTGATCCTTCATTTGCATAACTACCTACAGTATCCCCCTGCTGGCCCAGGGTGAGAACTTCAGTATATAACACCACTGAAGCCAGCTTGTACCTTTTCCTATCATTGTGACTCACAATTGCTACCTTCAGGCTGCTTCTGTGGGGAAAGGGATGGGCAGGGAGATGAAGAGCCCTACCCTCCTCTTCTTCTTCTGCAAGGGGAATAACTAACAAAAAGGGAACAAAACACACAGAGTGAAATTTTCACAGCCCCACAGTTGTGCTAAACACCAAGAACTCTCCCAATTAAGAATAAGCAAAACCAGGGGCATCTTGTGCATAGAGGCAAGTGGCGCAGGGCGCCAGGGCGCCAAGTTCTGGAGAGCGCCAGGGAGGAGACTGAGGCTGGACGTGGTGCCTCCCGCCATCAGCTGCCCTCGCCCGCCTCGCTGAAGCAGCGCCGTAAATGTCGGCAACTCTGGGAAACGGGGAGGGAGGGCGCCAGAGGAATCTTTGCACCATGGTGCAGGATATAATTAAGACGGCCCTGAGCAGAACCAAGCTCACTGTGTTGCTCTTCTGATATCAGCGTATGGGGTTGATGATTCATAAAGTCTTACGCATTTGGGATTAATCCTACAAAATCTTTTTGCCGATTCCCGATGCACAGAATTTGGTTGTGGGCCTTGGGCTGCTCATCCAAGCTGTCAACTGCCTGGCAATGGTTCTATCGTGTAACAAAGTATTTGATATCAGAAGCAGTAAAGGAGTCTAGAAATGTTGTGAAGTGCTGGAAAGCTGCAGAATCATTTAGCACGCTGAATCACTGTGACTCATCTTGAGGATGACTCCTTCTCTGTATAAGTACAGTATCTGCTTGCAGGCAGACTCAGAGTGTGTGATGGAGCCTGAGCTCTGGGAAGCCTGTGCTCAATGGAGACAAATGCCTCTGTGTGACTCAGTAACTCTGTGTATGCTCTGAAGCTAGTTCAATCTTCTGTTTGAAGTAAGGTGAGGACAGGTGACCTCACCTAGGCCCGAAGTCACCCCCCACCAAAGCAGGCTCAAAGCTTCTCAGAGCTTTTCAAAATCATTTTTCTCAGCAGCTAAAAGGCATTAGCTAAGCATCAGAAACATTCTGCTTGCTGTAACTAAAAAGATTGCAACAAAGGTAGGGAACACAGTCCATTGTTTCTCAGGCCTTTCTCATGCCTTCTGGCCTTGCTAAAGAACCACATTGCAACTTGGTTTCTGTCCGGGAACCATGCCAAAGCACAAGAATGAAACAACTGGAACACACTGAAACCCCCTCACCCCCTTTCCTGCCAAGAGTCCACAATAGTTCCAAGACAGCTTTCTGTACATGCTCAGGGGAACACATCATGGGGCAGGACTCCTGAGGGAGGAGAAAGGAGGAGGGAACTGGAAAGGGGTATATATGCTTGTGCACATGACTGTGAACTTCGTGCATGCTTTTTGTGACTTATCACACTTGCTCCTTCTACCAGTTCATGGATGGTAGAAATAAAAAAGCCTTTTCTCCGAAACTATTCCTTGAGTGTCTTGACTCCCACTTCCCTTTCCCAGGCGCAATATTTTTCCCACCCAAGGGCAAAGCCTCATAAGGCTACATGTTCACGATGCTGTTATTTGCAAACAGGTTTATTTTTAACTCAGTAAAGTTTTGATTCTTTTACTGAAGACGACTCTGCGTTATTAATTTACGCTGGGCGTCAGGTTCCCCAAAGGGTGGCAGGTAGCAGTTGCTCCCAGCCTGGCCTAGATAGACCAAGGATGGACCCACCCAGGGGCCTTTTTAGGCCATAGCTCAGCGCCGGTGGAAGCCCACAGGGTCAGTCCTCAGCATCTCCAGGTGAGGCTTGGGGAAACTCTGATTTCCAGGTGAGCTGCTGCCAGCCAGGCCAGAGGAAGGCAGTCTGGAGCTCCCGGGACCGGGATCTGGCTCCTGAGGCAGCTGTCTATGCAGCCCAGTGGGTGAGGTCTTCTGCCAGGCAAAGGGCCAGGCACTTTCCTGCATATTCACCTCTGGCGACTTAACACTTTGTGGCCGAGCTTCAATCTGTCTCTCTCTGCGCCTGTGTTGGGTTAGCACAGCGGGAGTGACAATGCTTCTTGCCTCCTTAGACTCAAAGAATCACAGAGCAGGAAGGGACCTTGAGGGTCATCTAGTCCAACCCCTTGCCATGCAGGAAGATGCAGCTGTGCCAGATGGGGATCAAACCCACAAGCTGGGCCTTCTCATCCCCACACCTGAAGCCAAGGAGGGAGTTGAGTCCAAGCCCTTCTGGGTGCCCAGAAGATGCTTTGCCACTGAGCCACAGCCCCTCCCAAACAGAAACACAGGAAGGGGATTTATACCCTAGATTGCTCCATCTACCTCAGAGTGGCTGGGGCAACCCAGGAAGATGGGCGGGGTATAAATAACTATTATTATTATTATTATTAGTAGTAGTAGTACAGTGGTACCTTGGGTTAAGGACTTAATTCGTTCTGGAAGTCCATTCTTAACCGGAAACTGTTCTTAACCTGAGGTACCACTTTAGCTAATGGGGCCTCCCACTGCTGCCACACAGCCACCATGCAATTTCTGTTCTCGTCCTGAAGCAAAGTTCTTAACCCAAGGTACTATTTCTGGGTTAGTGGAGTCTGTAACCTGAAGCGCCTGTTCTAAAAAGCAGATGTCTTCCCCCCAAAGATCCTGGGAACTGTAGTTTGTTAGGCGCTCTGGGAACATCTCCCATTAGCAGAGATCCGTGGAGTCCTAGGAACTCCGTCATGAGGAGGAACCAGGAAGGAAGGAGGAGCTCAGATGCCCCGTTCGTGAGTTGGGGAGGGACCCCGTGGCTTGGGAATGGAGAACCGTTGGGTGTTGAGTGTCCCAGGATTGTGCCTTGCCTTCAAGGGGGGCGCCTGGGAGATGGGGTTTGGTCCTGCTGACGCTCTAACAGAAGACCATATATTGGAGGACAGGAAGGGATTCCCCTCAGATCAGATTGGCTCGGGCATATCTGAGAGGAGCTAGCGACAGCTGGATTGGGGACTGGGAGCAGCTGCTGGGACCATAGAACACCGGTCCTAAAGGATAAACGATGGCTCCCAGTACGTTTGTGAGCACAATTCACAGTGTGGGTCCAGTATACCTGAAGAAGGGTTGCCATCTGGTTCTTTAAAAACAGAGTTTTAAAATGACAGCAAACTTAAAAGGATAGGAATCAGGCTGCAAAACCTTCTTTTGAGCAAGTCCAGCTATGAAGCTAGCTGCCTTCCCTCCCTTTGCCCCACTTAAGAAAGAATCAGGCATCAACATGGAAACTTTAACAATAAGCTTTATTTACTTTATAATCATGCATCTCTTCACATCAATAGTGGCATTAAAAACTGTGCAGGCAAAATAGTGTTATACATTTGCCGGAGACCCCCTCCACAAACCCCAGAAATACACAAAAGGTAGAAATTTGATAAATTGGGATATCAATGAAAGTACAGGCTGCACAACTGTGCCAGACAAGGAATTCCTGGGCTGACTTCTGCAAACCAGGCTGGGTGGTCTAGCAAAGAGCAAATCTGTTAACACACCTGAGATTGCTGGACATATGACCCAAGGGAATGTGGGGATGAGCCCCAAAGGTATGGTGGGTACACAGCCTATGGTTTCAAGGGAAAGGTCTCTAGCGGGCTTTGGCTCACATACTGAATCCTGCTTCCTCCACAGAGCCAGGCTCCAGGGATGAGGCTCCAGCTCCAGCTCCCGGGATGAAGGGCGAGAGAGCATCCTGGCGGTTCCCGGCTGACATCCCTCGCGGCGCATCCCCACTGCCCCTTCTCCGTGTGGGCATGGCTCCATCCCGGCCGTTTGGCGCAGAAGCAGCAGCCAAAGTTTCCTCCCATTAAAACAGCTTCTCGGGTGATTTCTGAGAGGGAGGAGACTTTGGCTGCTGCTTCTGTGCTAGGCCAGTCGAACGGCCGTACGGAGAAGTGGGGAGCCCTTATAAGATCAGGTTGGAGGAAATGCCCCTTCCCTTGTCCCCCACCCTCCTGCCCCAGACTGGGGCTAGCATGGCAGGGAGACAGGCGCCTGCTCATGTTTTTTTTTTCCCTTTGCAGTGTGGGAGCCTTTCCCCAACACATATTCTGTTCTGGCCAAATCCCTGGAGAGATGTGGTGAACATCAGGTACGAGGGCAGAGGGAATGAAGGGATCTTTGTGGAACATGTTTTGGGAGTCCCACCTGTGGCTTCCATTCTCATGTGATGTCCCGCTTCCTCCACAGGGCCACGCCTCCAGGGATGAGGCTCCAGCGCCGGCTCCCGGAATGAAGAACCGAACAACATCCCGGCGGTTCCCGGCTGACGTCCCTCGCGGCGCATCCCCACTGCCCCTCCTCCGTACGGACATGGCTCCTTCCCGGCCCGGTTTGGCACAGAAGCAGCAGCCAAAGTTTCCTCCCATTAAAACAGCTTCTCGGGTGATTTCTGAGAGAGAGGAGACTTTGGCTGCTGCTTCTGTGCTAGGCTGGTCGGACGCCCGTACGGTGGAGAAGTGGGGAGCCCTTCTAAGATCAGGTAGGAGGAAATGCCCCCTTCCCAGGTCCCCCCCCCCTGCCCCAGACTGGGCTAGCGTGGCTGGGAGCCGGGCACCTGCTGATGTCTCCGTTTTCTTTGCAGGGAGGGAGCCTTTCCCCAACATATACTTTGTTCTGGTCAAATCCCTGGAGAGATGTGACGACCCTCAGGTACTGGGGCAGAGGGAACAAAGGGGTCCTTCCATAGTTTTTGGCCCATCTGAGGCCCATTCTCACATGATGCCCTGCTTCCTCCACAGGGCCACACCTCCAGGGATGAGGCTCCAGCGCCTGCTCCTGGGACGAAGAACAACAGACCATCATGGTGGTTCCCGGCCCCTGACCCTCGCCTGCCTCACCCTCCGTCCGTTCCCCATGCGGGCATGGCTCCTTCCCGGCCCTACTTGGCGCAGAAAGAGGAGCCAAGGTTTCCCCCCATCAAGAACACCTCCAGAGTTATTCCGGAGCCGGGGGAGACTTGGGTTGCTGCCTCTGTGCCAAGCCGGCCGGGACGGAGCCCAGACACCCGTACGGAGGAGTTCAGGTTGGGGCAGCTAATAAGATCAGGTAGGAGGAAATGCCCCCTTCCCAGGTCCCCCACTCCTGCCCCATACTGGGGCTAGCGTGGCTGGGAGCCAGGTGCCTGCTGATGTCTCCGTTTGTTTTGCAGCGAGGAGAAGGTTCAGCCTGGGAGCCGCTGCATCCCGGGAGGGACTGGAGCCCAGACAAAGGCCTCTCACCCCAGAGCTAATGGGATAGAGGGAAGGACAAAGACCCCCATAGGGAGGCAAAGTGTGGAAAGGCTCAGAGTTCAGGCAGGGGGAAATGCCAATTGAGTGCTGGAGTGGGGGGGGGAGCAGGCCTGTCTCTCCCCAGCCCCTTGCCCCCTCCTTCCAAGCCAGGGGTCTGGTCATTATGTGCCCAGGCAGGAGCAGCGATGGTTGGCAGCCAGTGGTGACGTGGGCATGGGCAGCATGGCAGGGGTGCTTGTTCTGTCCCCCTCCTTCCCTGGATCACCTCGCCAGCGCTCAGGCTGTCACTGCAGAAGTTTGGGGGCTGCTCCCCCCGGGGGCCCTATGTCTCCACCGCAAGAAGGCCCTGCCTCCACTGGCTTGCCTGCCCATGGGCTGCTGCCGGGCTCCTCTGTGCCAAACAGGAGGAGGAGGGATGTGGAAGAGTGAGGAAGGGAGGGAGCTGGGAAGGCAGCCTGGGGGGGGGGAGAGAAAATATTGAGGGCAATGTGCCCCAGAAGGAAATCATTGGGGATGGCCCATGGGACCACTGTCCACTAGAGAGTACAATGTCCTTCTTCCTTCGCAGGGCTGTGGATTGGGAAAACCTCCAGCAGCCCAGTGGTGCTGGGAAACCCAGTGAAATTCGGAGGTATGCTGTGACCTTCTGTGGCAGGGGAAGTGTTTCCATGTCATCTTACCAATTGCAAGTAAAAAAAAGTTCCTGCCCCGAGAGGCTTACAATCTTTAATATGACACAGGGAGGGAAGAGAGAAAGGTTGAGGTCGAGGCTGGATCCTGAGTCGTCCTGCGAGACATAAGCCAGGGTTTCTGAGTTTAGACTTTGGGATTCCCGGACATTTCCCACCTGTAACTTCTTCCTCTGTTTTCATTTTCCTTCCTGTCTCACAGCTTCTCAGAAAGGAAGGACAATGCAGCAGTTGTGGCGCCAGGAATCACTGGAAGTCGTGGGATGTTAATTCCATGGGGAATCCATTCCCCACATGTGCAGGAAGGTTGTGGCCCCAACCTGCGTGAAACAGGGCTGGGTTGGGGTGTTTCAGGCCGGTCTTGCACCACCCCCTTGCCCCCTCCTTCCAAGCCAGGGGTCAGGCGCCCAGGCAGGAGCAGCGATCATTGGCAGCCAGTGGTGATGTGTATTTTCCTTTCTGTCTCCCAGGTCCTAAGAGGCTACTGTACTGCAGGGCCCAAATGGACAAAGGGGTGACGGCCATGGAAGATGTGGTATGTTAATTCCATGGGGAATCCATTCCCCACATGTGCCAGATACGGCTCGGGTTGGTGAAAGTGCGTCTGAGTTGATGTTCTATCAGTAGTTTTTGGCCATTCACAGCCCATTCTCATGTGATGTCCCTCTTCCTCCACAGGGCCACGCCTCCAGGGACGAGGCTCCAGCTCCGGCTACCGGAATGAAGAACCGAACAACATCCCAGCGGTTCCCGGCTGACGTCCCTCGCGGCGCATCCCCACTGTCCCTTCTCCGTACGGGCATGGCTCCTTCCCGGCCCAATTTGGCTCCCTGGCTTGCCTTGTCCACAGATGTTGATAGCTTGGCAGGTCCTCAGCTGTGGTCCCCAGATGATATTTTCTGTTGTGAATTACTAGTTGGTAACTTCCTCTGTTTTTATTTTCCTTTCTGTCTCACAGGTTCTCAGGCAGGAAGGCATCAGCATAAACAAATCTCCCTGGAGATTGTGGTATGTTAATTCCTTGGGGAATCCATTTCCCACATATTTATTTATTTATTTTAATTTCTATACCGCTTTATATTTGTAGTAAAAATCTCAAAGCGGTTTACAGCATAATAAATCAATAAAACTGTCATGGCCTGTGACAGCCCATTCACACGTCCAGTGATTCTTCCCTCAAAGAAGCCCTTAGTGTTGAGTTCTCTCCTGCTTCAAAGATCCCTTCTTTTTTCCAGGATCTCCTGTCTGCCCCGCTGTGGCTGCTGCCAAAGCCTCCCATAAAAAGAACAAGAAAGAGGAAGGGCTGGGAGAACACCCTCCAAGTTGAGTGTCAACAGAGAATGGGAGAAGAACCTTCCTGCATGAGAGCAGAAAGTAGACGCTCTTGTCTTGAAGTGGGTGGGCCAAGCTTTCTTGGGGAGCACTGTCAGGGCAGGGGCACTGGGCATCCATTCCCCACGTCTGCCAGGAGGATACCAAGTCCTTCTTCCTCCACAGGGCCACGCTTCAAGAGAATGAAGCTGCAGGGGAAGTCCTTGAGTCCTTGAAGCTGCAGGGGAAGTCACTCCCCCTTCTCCCCCTCAGGCTGCTGTTCAGCAGGTGAAGCTGATTCCTGCCCCATGACACTATCCCCCTCCCCAAGGTGCCCTCCACCTGCCGGATGGTGACGCCCTTTGGGGAGCACAATGGTGGAAGTGTTGGACCAACCGGACATTGGGGAGCATGGACAGGCAAGGCATCTTCCCATGAGGAATTTCCATTAAGTCCATGTCCATAAAAAAGGCCGTAGCCCCCCAATTTCTATCATCTTCTTCTTTGGCAATCACACATAGCCAAGTAAGATTGTCTTCCATGAACACGATCTTAACAGTGAGTTCATAATGGACTGTGGAAACAAATTCTGAATCCACATGTCCTTCCACAGTGGGGATATAGATTTCCAGGTGGGAGTTGATCACGGTGAGGGTTTGCCAAACATGCTTCCTCCTAGTTTGTTTCTCCCTTTTGTCCTGAGTTCGAGTATCTTCAAAGTCCATGACACCATTGGTAAAGGCTGTTCTCTAATTGGAGTGTTTGCAATGCCGGTGTTTCCCAATTGTTTCTACTACATTTCTTTTAGATCTGCCTTGAGAGAGTCTTTAAACTTCTTTCGTTGACCACCACATTACATTTTTAAGTTGCTTGGGAAGGCGATAATCAGGCATAGCCCAGGTCTGTTAAGCTGCTTTCTAGGTGTTTTCAGAGGGTGGTGTGAGGCATCTGGGCATTAGGAATACAAGCCAAGCCTGGCTCCGTGGCCCTCCCTAAATTGAGGTTATTTTATTCCTGGCAGCTGGCAGAGCCCCTCTTCGCTGGGCATGGGACTGCCACATTCCCCGGTCTCCACAGAGGACTCACAGTCCCTCTCTGCATCTCTGTTCCTTTTCGCCACCATCAAATGAGGGCGATGGTGACTCTCATACTGGTCCTAAGCTGAAGAGCTGCCCAGCCCAACTGACCTCCTCCCTCCAGAACCCACCGCTCTCAACCGACTCCCAACTGCCTCCCCACCAACATTCAAACTCCCTTTCAAAGCCTCCTCCAATCATCACTCTCCCCAGAATTCCACACTCTCTCTTTCCCCCTCCCTCCCTGCTTGACATTCCCTTGGGAATCCGAATAGAATTACCTTAGTTACAATATTGTTATAGATTGATGGGGGGATCCCACTAAACCCTAGAAATTAATAATGGTAGGATTTGGGATTATTTGGGATGTGAAGGGAGAAATACAAGCTGCAGAGGAATTCCTGGGCTAGCCTATGCAAAAGGACCTGGCCAAGTGAGGGTCTTTAAGAAAGAATTCAAGGACAAGGAGAGCCTAACTGGAAATGCAAGAGAAGTCCTTCTCCCTTG